GAGTTCTCTGAGAAGTTCAGAGCTTTAAGAGGTCAATCAACAATGACGTAAGCATTAAGAGGGCGACGGGTTTTTGAAATGTACTGACGATATCTTACAACGAAGGGTTAATCCTTATACGAAAGGTTCGAAGAGTTCCCTGGTGACCGACAACAACCACACCAGCAGAGAACTTACTTTGAACTTCGCCGCCGCACGATGTTGACTATCTACAAAAAGCTAATCAGACCGGTAGTTTTCTATGGCCACGAGACTATGCTCGTGGAGGACCAACGTGTTTTCGAACTGAAGGTTTAGCAGCGAACTATCTACGATGGAGTGCAGGCGGATTACGGAAAATCGCTTACACTAGGGTTGGTTAAGTTTGTATGGTGAATCACAATCACCTGCTCTTCCGATGTGTATTGAAGTCCCCAACAACGGTGTCAAATTTGAACAAATTTGGTTATGATCTTGATTTACTATAGAATTTTAAATTTTGTATGGGAAACGAAACGAACCTATCAATTTGCTTGCCAAAAATTCAAATATAGCTCAAATTTCACCAAATCTCGGAAAAAGATTGGAATGCAGAACAACTTTGTCAAAGACTTCAAATCAATTAGACTTCTGAGAAAAAAGTTATTATAGCAATTTGGAACTTTTGCTCTGCGCAGCCCTGCAGGCGTATATATCCGGGGAACTTTGAGATTTGGACGTAATTGCTTTTGTACCCAAACAAGTCAATCGCCGATTTCTCTCGAATAAACGCTCAATTCCGCAAACAAACTATACCAAATGGTAGAGGAATTATTCATCTACCTGTTTGTGTTGTTAATTTTCGAGATTGAGCTTTAATTCGCGAGAAATCGGTGATTGACGGGTATGTTTATAATTACGCCCAAATCTCAAAGTTCTCCGGATATGAGCTTGTAGGTACGTGTGGAACACTTGGTCTAAAGTTAAAGATTAGTTAATTTTTGTACAAAGATCAAATCAATTTGCAATCCTCGACAAATTTGTTTTGTATAGTAGGGTAGAGAACTACTTCGGCCTAATCGCCCATTTTTGGCCTATCGAGCAGAGAACTTCAAATAAATCCATGATTTCAGAGTTAACAAGTCAATTATGCGTTTGGTACGATATTTTAGTTAATAAGTTATCGAACGAAGTCAAGAGAACGCGTGATATGAAGGTTTGCACCCATTATTCCCAAAAACAAAAGAAGCGCTCCGACCGAATCAATTTTTATCTTCATCCGATAGACCGAAGTGAATTCATTGGCATTTCAATGGCGTTTCAATGCGTTAGGCCGAGTTTAGGATCCGTAGGCCGAGTTTGGCGTCAAGAAGCAGTGTTAGACTTTTGACAATATCTCAACGATTGTCTGAGAGCGGGTTGTGCTTTATAGGCCGAAAATGGGGTAGTTTCGCATACATTGTCCGCATACGAACTTTAAAATTCTCCCTAAAATCGAGATTATAACCAAATTCGAAAATTGTTGTTGGGGACCACAATACGAATAGAAAAGAGCAGTGGGAAATAGGAGGCTGTAAAGTTGACCCACCCTAATGGCCACTAAGAGAAGTTTACTGAATTCCAAAGAAGGTCAACGAATTTCTGAGATATTCAACGGAATTCAGAAAAGCATAGAAAACTTCAATGCACTATGCTGCCGTTATACGCATAAGAGTCCCACGGTGCATAAGGATTGCATAGAACATGGGACAGTAATGCGTATAACGGCAGTATGGGCCAGGAATGAAATCTAGCAGGAAAAAATAATAACGCTCTGGGATTGCATCCAATTGAGTTGACGTTTTCAGTGAGGTTTTTTGGATTAATTAGGACTACAATTTAGTGGATAATAATAGTTCAAGCTTTGGCCGCAAAGATGGCGCAGCGATACAAACGTTTTTATTCCACAAGGTTTGCAGTCTTCGGCAAAGTTGTAGAACGTAAAATTTTTTGAAAAGTTGCCGAAAACATAAAAAACTATACATTTTCAAACAACTGAGATATAAGAAGATTCATAAAATTTTACTGAAATTCACGTATTACATTTTGAACAATCCTTCGAAAGAATACACTTATTATTTTTCCTCGATCGGTACTGATCAACTCAATCTTTTCAAGATCAATTTTATTATGTTTAGAGCAGTGATAACTAGAGAGGGTCTATAAGAGAGAAGCGGACTGGCTGGTTTTGAGGCAAATGAACTGTCAAAGCCAGAGCCAATTGAGCAACGCCTATCTTGATTGCATTGGCAGTGTTGCTAGAAATCACATAGGCATACGTTGCCAAGGCAGTTTGTTTTGATTCCGCTCCTCTCTTATACTGGACCCTCTCTAGTGATAACTATATATTCCAAGGAACTTCACTAAAGACGTAAACTCAATTGGATGCAATACCAGAGCGTTTTTGTTTTTTTCTTGCTAGATTTAATTCCTGACCCACTGTGCAATGTAGTTAAGGTAATCTCAGATAAGTGGGAAAACACATTAGGACTTTTCAGAGAGGTACAAGGTCACATCAGGGAAATTCAGAAAAGTTAAGTTGAAGACGTTTAGAGAACTTCATAAAAATATATGAATCCTTAGAGAAGCTTTGGTAAACCTTAAAAATAATCAAGGAATGTAAGAGGAATTCAGGAAACTTCAGCAGAGAAGTTCGAGGCACCTAACAAAAATCAGGGAATCCCACCAGAAGTTCGGAGTTCTTCAGAAAAATATAAGACTGGAGACAAGCAGCCACGAACCGAGTTAGTTGGCGCAACACTGTACAGCAGGTAAAATCCTGAGGGACGTCGGACCATCAAAAGTACGTAACAAGTAAGTGTAGAAAGAGAGAGAGAGAGAGAGAGAATACTGGGAAGTTCCGCTTAGGGAAACTTGCAGAACGTAAAAATCAGTTCAATTCTAGAATATCAAAAAGTACACCTGGGAGCACCCAACTTGTACTCAGATTAATCTAGGATATCATCGGACTTTCAGGGTACGTAACATTGATTACGATCATTATCTCGTTGTCAGCAATATTCGAGCAATGTAGAAAGTTGGGCCTCCATTAGCTCACTCGGTAAAGGCGCAGCTACAAAGCAAGACCATGCTGGAGGTGGCTGGGTTCAATTCCCGGTCCGGTCTAGGAATTTTTCGGGTTGGAAAATGTCTCGACTTCCCTGGGCATAAAAGTATGATTGGACTTGCCACACAATTATACCAATGCAAAAATGGTACAGGCGTCGAAAGCTCTCAATTAATAACTGTGGAAGTGCATCTAGAACACTAAGTTGAGAGCACGCAATAAGCTAATATGCGATATGCAATAAGCTTGAAATTCGAACAAGAAGAAGAAGAAGAAGAAAGTTGAATGGTTCCTATATCTTAGCAGCCCAATAGCGACAGACGACGGGACCAAGAGCAATATAGGTGCTCAAATCAAGAAGGCGAGTTTGCGAAATATTTGGAGATCATACTAGATTAGTTAATACACCAAGATCCGAATTTTCAATTGCAAAGTAAAATCTGCACTGTTAAAACTCAGAAGCTACAGGTCTTCATCGACCGATGCATGCGGTGCATAATTCGTGGCCGGTAGCCTCCCAACTGGATCTTGAATGCTGAGCTTCATCGTCGATGCCATCAGAGGCCGATAACAACAGAAATTCGAGAAACGTAAGTGTAAGTGGGTCGACCACACACTACACATATTCACTAACAATAAATTACATTACATCCCCAAAATTAAAGCCAATTGTTGAATGGAGCATTCGAAGGAAATAGAAACAAAACTACTCCAGCAGGATAAAACTTCCGGGAAAAGTCAAAAGTAGCTTCGGAGAAAATTCTGGAGAAACTATCTGAAAAAAAATCGGATGACACTTCCAGGGGTCGCCACAATGACTTCTAGAGGAATTCGGAGGAAATTTCCAGTATAGAAGACGTAAGAAACTTCCAGGAAAAGTTGTGAAGTATTTTGGAGATAACTTATGGAGAATGTTGAAAGAATCTGTCGCCGAGCCAGAAGGGTTTTCGAGGGCAGTCAGAATAAACTTCAAGAAAATGTCAGATGAACCTTTCGGGAGGAATTCAGAACAAAGTTGGAAGATGCTTCTGGGAGAAGCTAGTAGGACTTCTGGAGACTATCGGAATAAACTTTCGGATAAAATAGGAAGAATCTTCCTGGGAATGATGATTGCTTTGGCAGGAAAAAGAGGACAAATTTCTTAGCGAAGTTAGAAGAAACTTCCGAAGTAATTCAAAGAAAAGTTCCAGACGAAGCCAGAAGGGCTTTTCGATGAAATTTTCGAGGGAAATCGAAAAACTTCCGGAAGAAGTTGAAGGAAACTTCTGTAGGAAATTCGAAGAGATCTACCGAGGGGAATCATCAAATTGAAATTAAGTGGCTAAAACTGTTCACTGATGCTTCGTGGATCGTTCAACAGAAGTAAAAGGAAACATTCTGATGAACCTATCTGGTTACCGGATAAAAGTATTTCCAGATTTCCGGGAAGAGTCAAGAAATTAAAACATTGCTTGCAGACGAAAATAAAATTCGCTTTGCCTATATGTACTGATACTTAAAGGACGCTGACCAGATAGCTTTCAGAGTTTTCCAACGAACAATACTCAGCGGTAAACTAGAAAATGGCTTCTGGCGGTGTCACGGGAATCACGAATTGTATCGTGTAAATTGTATGTTTATAACGAAATGGATATTGTGGAGGTTCCCGGACCCCTTACGGTAGTAAGAAATTACTAGTGGGTAATCCTGGCAACATTAAACTAATGTTGACGTTTCCTTTTATCTATACCTAAGATTTGTTTAACCTAATGCAAAAATGCCGCAGTGCAGTAAGCCCGTTTCCATCACCGAATCCGTTAGTAAGGCGCATATGATGATGATAATGATGATGATGGTTAGTAACACGTAGGTATTCAACACAAGAAACAAAGAGACACTAAACCAAGGTCCAGAACGAGTAACAATTTAGAGATGGCTTTCCGTCCCTCGCACTTACCGTGACTGCTGGGGTCCTGCGTGCTAACCGACGGGCTGGTGCTGAGCGAGCTGATCGTGTTCGCCGTGTTGGTGCTCTCGTCCGACGTTCGCTTGAAGAAGTTGTGTTGCAAGGCATAGTACGGTGTGCAGCGCGTCTTCGGATCGTAATCCAGCATCCTTAAGATTAGGTCCTTAAACTTAAGATAGTCGGATACGCTGTGGCCGGGCTCGCCGTGCCTCCGGCCGCCCGGGCCGCCCGTTTCCACGCCGAGGATGTCGTGCAGTTTCCGGGTGCCGGATGCTTTGTACTTGCGCTGGTTTTGCGTTTTCCGCAGCACGTACGTACCGTCCGGGAGCTTCTCGAAGAACTTGCGAGTTTTGTGCGCCTGATCGAGGATGTGCTTCGGGGGCATCCCGAGCACCTCGACGATCTTGTTGATTTGGTCGGCCTCGTTCGAGCCGGAAAACAACGGCTCACCGGTGTGCATTTCCACCAGTATGCACCCGAGGGACCACATGTCTATTGCTAAGTCGTACGGTATTCCTAATAGTACCTCCGGCGAGCGGTAGAAACGTGATTGTATGTATTGATATATCTGAGGGCGAAAGAGAGCAAACAGCGATACACACATGAGTGTTTTGTTTTCAATGCCTTTTGAAAAGAATGCAATCGTAATTGAGCACCTTGTTTACCCGGTGGAAAAGGGCTTGCTTCCTATGAACGAGGTAATTTCGTTTTATTGCCACTTACTCTCCGGTGTTATCCGGGAAAAGCGAGCCATTTCAAAGTGCTCAATTATTGGTTTGTTTTGCTGCTAGCATGGGAACTCGTGTCGATACGAGTCGATACTTACCCTTTGTCCTAGCTGACACGAACTGCCAAAATCTACTATCTTAATTGCTGACCGTTTAGGGTTACATAATAATATATTTTCTGGTTTTAAATCACAGTGTATGATATTTAATTCTGAAAAAGAAGAACATCCAATTAGTTTGCCCGGTTTTAAGTGACTCGGAAAAACACTCACCTTGTGAACTTAAAAATAATAACGCCGTACATAATTGCTGGGCAAACTTCCTCGTCAGATTCAGTGAAACGCCGCGGAAGTTCGTATTGCGCAGTAAGTCGTATAAATTATAGGATAACAGCTCGAATACTAAACACAGATGATTCCGCCACATAAAGTGTCGCTTCAGCCTAACTGCAAGGGTCCAAATGAAAGACATTTTTTCGGTTAAGAGGCGCCAAAAAGAAGATCCAATCCACAACTTACCGATGTAGTATTTGTTTTCCGCGTCCGCCCGGTTCATCATCTCCAGCAGATTCACTTCGATTTGTGCTTGACTCAGGAAGGGTCTCTTGTTTTTGATGATTTTGATCGCCACCTGACACTCCTCCTCGTGGTCGTAGGCTTTCACCACCTGGCCGAAGCTGCCCTTACCTGATCACAACGAAAAGGAACAGAAATGTGTGAGGATTTCCAACCATTTAATTAAGTGTACAATCAATGTAAACTTACCGATTAACGAGTCGATTTCGTAGCGATCAAGAAACTTCTCGCCATTTTTGATGATGTAGTCATGGTTCTCGTCGTCGTAGCCATCGTTGTATAGCTTTCGCTCCTTCTTGTGGGAGGTATCCTCGCCCTGGGTTTGTTGAGCTCTTCGTTTCTTTTTGGCATAGTAAACCTGGAAGGGAAGGAGACAAACGGGGGATGAAATAAGCGTATGTCAAACGGGGAATGGGTCTGTGTAAACTGTTGGAAACGTTGCGTCCGTTGGTAAGGAAGTGTAGGAAAAAGGTTTTCATTAATTTTTGTCTATACTTCCCATGAGCACATCCAAAATTCAGAGGGATTCAAAATTTTATCAAAGTTAAAGTGTAAAAGATTACGAAGTTGAGTACAAAGGTTGCCTTGCAAATCCTCTTGAGTTCATCACAGACCTGAAACCTTCAAGAAATGTTTTCCAAAGGTATAGGACATAGTCTACAGTGCATAGCCTCAAAGAATGTAATACATTGTTATGTTGACAAAATATCTATGGTTCTACAAATTATCCTGAAGATGAGATCTTCAAGTTCTACAGGCGCAACAGTGACTTGTACAATGTACCAATAGTCAACGAGGGAGGGGGGCATGTCTCGACTTAATTTGTAAAACCAGAATACTTTGTGGACCGCCATTACATAATGCGGAATATGTAGTTGTAATGACAACACATTTTGCAGTCTCCAAGTTATCCTGAGGATTGTGTCTTGATGTTCTACAGGCTCTACAGAATGTTGTTTGATGTCCAGATGTATTATACGAATTCATAAAGCTCTGTGAGACTTCATAACATCAAGGGAGATAAGAAGTAAAATAAAATATGTTCCATTATCCAAATTGTTCTGTAGTTCAGATATTGATGTTCCTCAGATTCAACGAGGTATTGCACGATGTCTCGACTATATTTAAGAACACGAAAAATTTCGTGGAGCCCCATTACATCATGTGGAATATGACAAAATATGTTGGGGTTTCTAAGGTGTACTGAGGATCTTATCTTTATGTTATACAGGCTCAACAAAATGTTGTATGATGTCCAGATTTATTATATGCATTCCTGAAGTTTCGTAGCACTTCATCACATCAAGGGAGATAAGAAGTTGAATGAACAAAATATGTTCGTTTATCCAAAGTGTCCTGGAGTTCAGCGGCATTACATCATGAGGAATATGTAGTTGTAATGACAAAATATGTTGGGGTCTCCAAGTTATATTGAGGATTGGGTCTTGATAATTCCACGATATTTTGAAGCGTTTGTAGTCTGTCTTGACAAAAAATATGTCATATATGATGTAATAAGCTCTTACATTGCTCTACAAACTCGATTGGTCCGTTGGAACCCAATACAAGACTTTGATGAGCCTATAGAGCATCGAGATCTTACTGGAATCGCCGAATAGCGCGATGGGTGATCACATTCATGCATTCCAATTTCTCGGCTGTCCTCCATCCGATTGAGCTGATTTTATGTATGTGACCAGGGCTAACCATTAACTTGTCATCTACAAAAAAGAAGCTTATTCGTTGAAAAAACAGCCGGCAAACTACGGTAGGTTGACGGCACAAACAGCCGCACTATCCAAGTAACCAACAAGCCTATACACGGTACCCCGCCACACCTTCAACCGTCTTTACGTGGATCCCCGGACACTGCGGTGTTCCCGGAAACGAGGCTGCGGACAGACTGGCGGCCAGACTAGACGTCAGGCGTTGGATTGTGAATACCATTATGGAAGCCTGGCAGCAGGAATGGTTCCAGTCGCGGACCACTTTCCTGAGGAAGACTAAGGAAACCGTACGCTCCTGGCTGGACAGCCAAAACTACAAGGACCAGCGGATCATCTCAAGACTTCGGACCGGCGAGGATTTTCTGTAATTTCGGTGGGACACCTTTCCGCAAGGTCTGTTCAATTTGCGGCATCCCCACCTCGGTGGAACACGTGGTGTGTCTGCTTGATTACGACCCCTCGACGTTGGCTGCGCTGATCGCCTTTCTGAAGGAAGCCCACTTGTATAATTAAATCTAGCCCCCCGTCGGTGGCTGCAGTGATCGTGTGTTCCTCACGTTTCTATTTTTTTCTGCCGTCGGGGTTTCTCCGTCGGACCGGGCACTGTCTCCTACGGTGGAGCTCTAACTTGATCGCGCACCCAGCCCTCACCACAGCCCCGATCTAATCCTCACCTTACATTAAGTTTTTAAAATGTTGTCTGTCTCATTCGTTGGGTAATCAGAGCCAGTTATACGTCACGTTCATGTCAAATTGAAACCTTTTTTTTTAGGCAGGATCTAGCCTGACCATCTGCTGTATAACGTGATGAACTAGCCTACGGCTAAAAATCACGGTAATAAAGAAAAAAAAAAAAAACAAAAAGCCCGCTAATTCGCCTTTTTGCAATATAAGGCTAATATAAAGCCTAGCATGCCCTATATGTTAGCCATGCATCAGCCTTATATTGCAAAAAGGCCAATTAGCGGGCTTGTTGGTTACTTGGGTATTCAGGGGATTCCTGTATATTCAAGATTAGTCAACCTATTTTTTTTTAATACAACTATATGTTCACAATAAACTTCGAAAAAATATGATGACAACATACAGTAAATGAATACAACGCGTAAGACTTCAGTTAGGCTGTAGAGCATCTTGATATCAAATTGAGACACTTTGGAGCCCCTGGGTCCACGAAACTATATGGATTCGTATAATAAATCAGGATATCGGTATCAGGATAGGGGCTTTACGAGGCCCTATGAATGCAAATATTTAGTTGGAATATCGTACAATATCTCGTTGAGTCCGTAGAATCTCAAAATCTGAACTTCGTGATGATTTGGAGAATCATAGATATTTTTTAACACATCTATACGGCTCACATAATGCGATGAGGTCCCATGTAGGTCCATGCATTCAAGTATATGTCAGGGCATCATAAAACACTTCGGTTGAGCCTGTAGAACTTCAAGATCTTAACTTATGGATGATTTGGAGGACTCGAGTTATATTGTCATTTCAACTATGTATATATCCTGCATGATATAAGGGCGCTACACGAGGCTCTACAAATGCCGTAGTCAAGTCTGAACATCGTATAAAATTTGTTTGAGTCTATAGAACATCAAGATCTGAACTTCAGGATGATTTGAATAATCTTAGATATTTTGTTAACACAAATACATATCTCCCTTGATGTAATGAGCTCTTATGAAGCTCTCTGGAGTCATACATTTAGTCGGGACATCGAATAAAACAAACTTTATTGAACATGTAGAACTTCAAGATCAATTCTTCATGATGATTTTGATGATCTTATATTTCCTCGTATATCTGTATTTGATTTAGTATGGTGTGTTTCGGCTCTGCGAGGTTTTTTGGACACATATCTTTCGATAACATCTCCTTTAAGTCTCTGTTGATCCTTTAACAAGATAAAAGTCTAAACTTCATAATAATTTGATCACAAAAAAAAATGTTTTTCGGTTATTTTTTGTTTTTGTGCTAGTATAGCTTCTTCTTCTTTTTATTCTTCGCATTTCAAGCTTATTGCTGATCGCATATTAGCTTACTGCGTGCTCTTAACTTAGTGTTCTAGATGCACTTCCACAGTTATTAATTGAGAGCTTTTGATGCCTGTACCATTTTTGCATCACTATAATTGTGTATCCAAGTACAATCATACTCTATGCCCAGGGAAGTCGATAAATTTTCCAACCCGAAAAATTCCTCGACCCTACCGGGAATCGAACCCAGCTACCTCCAGCATGGTCTTGCTTCTTGCTGCGCCTTTACCGACATAGCTAAGGGAGGCCCCAGCTATTATAACTGTAGTTGGTGTTTGCAAAGAGTTCTTTTTCAGTACCGGCAGTCCGGGGAAGTCAATTCATCAGCGATGTACATATAATTTTTTATCTAAATACACAGTAAAAAAAACCCCATGTAACAATTTAAATTTTATCGAGGTTTTAAAGCATTCTCATTGATAAAACCAAATTTATTACTTGTGACATAGATTTGTATTTCGGATTACTTTTGACCCTTAGGAAAGTTGTGAAATCAAAATACGTAGTTTTCAAGGGAATGCTGTGCTGGTATTTCCTAAAAACAATGTTGGGGAGAATTCCTAAATAATTCTGTTGAATCCCGAAGTCAACTCTGAGATGAACTCCAAGGGAATTCTAAAAAATATTCCCACGATAAATTGCCAAGGGACTACCTTTAAAGAAAATTAACGAAGAGTATTTAAGCGAATTCTCGCGAGACTTGTTGAGAATACTATTATATTTGTGGAGTGAATTCTAAGTATGCTGCGATTTTCGAAGGCTGACGGCTTTGAACAAAAAATCAAGGGAATACCAGAAAGAATTATAAATGGTTGTTCATAAACTACGTAGACGATTTTTACGAGACAGTTGTTAGACAAAAAATAAATAAATAAACTCGCAGGGTGGCCACTAGATTTAAGGGTGAATGAATTCCCGGTTGTCTGACATTGTTTTCTCGGTTTGAGTTAAATATAGAAGTTCCACGCCAATTAGAAAAACTCGACCTTCTCCGATTTGCATAATTGTGTGCTGTGGGAAATCATTCACATTTTAACAAAAATTCGGCTATTTTGTATCTTGTAATTTTTATTTAAAAAAAAAATATGAATATAGACGTTGTACTTTTTGAAATATTTTAGTTTTCAACACTTTTTTTGAATTGCTACTCAAAATTGCTTTGAAAAAAATACAGTGCTAAATTTTCCCAGAACTGGAACTGGTCAACAGTTAAATGTGATAAAAATATCCCATGAAACACTCTACTAGTTTTATCAAGGTTTATGAGCGAGGTCTACAAGAGAATGTTAAAACAAAAACTATTATTTGGGACATAAATAATAATTTCGGATAACTTTAGAAGCGTGGGAAAGTGGTCTGGAGTTCTGAGATCAAAATAACAAGTTTTCGAGGGAGAATATAAGAGAATTACTATGAAATTCCTAGGAGAATCCTTGACAAATCTTGAGAAGAATCTTAGCGGTTTTTTTTTAGAAGAACTCTAAATGAATTTTGGCAGGATGTTTTGGGAATGCTAAGCTAAATTTGAAGGGAACTTCCAGAAACAACATCCAGGCGAGAAATCCATGATAATTCTGTTTAGA